TAAACAATAACAGCAATCCAGAGTGTCCGTGTGGCATTAGCATTAATTAAATTAATTGTTAATATAATTAAAATAATTAAATGGAGCTCGAACTGGTATTAAATCTAAAGTTTTTGAGAAATGTTTGCATTGCTTGTTAATTTTTGCTGCATAATTTGATCAAATATGTAAAACATGTCCGTAGCACGTTAAACTGTGGTGCCATTGTATTAATATACAATTATTTGCTCAAAAGTTGCCCTTTTTTTTTCCAATTTGCGTTTGAATATCTACATTTATTCTCATTCTTCTGTTTAATGGAATGCACAAACACAGCAGCGTGCCATCAAAGATGGCGTCTCCGAGGAGGTCATGTGACATTCATTGGTCTGTGGGAACTATGTATAAAGAACTCTCACGCCTCTCTGTGCGTTCGTGAACAGGCCAGCATATCTAGTTTGGAAGTTGCTAGCCTAACTGTTACTCGCATAGCCACGGGAAAGCCTTTGGGAACTATTTTATTTTCTGTCATTAAATAAACCTTTCGGCATTCCTAAGAGTGGACTGAAGTTTATTTTGTGTGTTCTGTTGGTACAAAGCCGTATAATAAGCGGGATAATGTATAGTACACAGGTCATTATCGGAATAAAATGGTAATGTAATATACATTATCCCTTACTTATTGCTGCTACTTCACACATGATTTTCTCCTACTGGGATCAATATAGTATCTTTCTATCCATCTATCTATATGGTGATCTTTGAATGCAACTCTGCATTATTTCTCCTTCAAACATGACAAGTTGAATTTTGGTTTCTTTGGGTAATCTAAATTCTTTCATGCTAACTTCAGACAGGCCTGGACATGTACAGGCTGAAGCAGGGGGACACATCTGCTGCTTTCAAAAAACACCTGCTGTAAAGCCTGCAAACCATCAAGACTCTTCCCAGAGCTGGCCAGTTGTCCAAAGAACCTGGGGGTCAGTCTGACTGAGCTTCAGCAGTACTCTGAGAGTATGACAGAACCTTACAGAAGAACAAGCATCAGTACCTGCTTTCCTACAAATGTGACACTTGCCATTCAGGACAAATGGTCATCATTTGGTTTCATCAGACCAACAACAGACCTCAGTTTGTTATGTTGTCATGTTATACATGCCTTTTGCACACTGGAAGCAGGCTGTCATATTCCTTTTAGTGAGGATAAAAGAGTTTACTGTGTTTACTCTTCCATAAAGAGCTACAAAACGCATTGCTTCATTCTACAATAATGAAATACAAATCAGGGACACGAAGCCAATTAACTTACATCAACTCAAAATTCCAATATAATCTAATCTAAATTTAGTATAATCACTGTCCTTGGGTAGTAACCATGGTTTCCAGTGGCAGGGATTGGCACTGGCCAATTGTCAGTTAGAACGTTTTTGCTGGTTAGAACTTGGGCCAAGCAGGTACTAAAAAGAACCTGGTATGGGTTGAGAAGGGCCAATGGAAACACCCCCAATTTGTGTAGAGTCGAGCTGAATAGAGTAGAGTAGGACCAAGAAGGGCTGGTGGAAATGAAGTTATGCCGGACTGCCTTATTCATGTAAAACTATGTAAATAAGGCATATTTGGTGAAGTGCTGCATTGACAGTTGTGTTTCTGTTGTACTTCGGTCTTTCGGGATTAAATATCACACAACATATGATTTGGCATGTTATTTGTTGGCTCGCGTACATGTTGTTACATGTTATTTGTTGGCTCGCGTACATGTTGTGATGGTCAAAAATTCCCTTTGACTGACGTGTTCGAGTTGATGCAGAAGTATGACAAAAGATTCTCCAAGTTTAACATCTGTATTTAATTTCCTTACAATCAGATACAGAAATTCAACAAGCTCCTACTCTATTCCTGTCCCTTCGCTGGCCCCTGTGCTGACTAACCCCAAGCCTCAAGCCCAAGCATATAAAAAGAGCAGATGTCCAGGAAGAAGGGGGCGTGTCGTATCAGGCAGCTTCCGGTCCAGGGTCCGGCCTTTTCCTTCGTCTCGCCAAACCTAAAACAGAAATCATTCACACACACACTACCCCTCCCTAATTCTATAGAAATATTACTTCCTTGAGATAGGACAGGAGGCTTTTCAAGGTCCACCTCCTTCTTCAAACAACGAAAGGATTAGCAGAATCCCCCCCAGATTAACTATCATTAACTCATATTCTGCACTTTTGGACTACCAAGGAACAAGGGGAGACCAGGTCTTTTTGCTTGGGAAAGAGACAGAGTTCAATTCCGGGTCAATCAAATTCACATCTGCTTTTAGTCTATATTTAATACAACAGTTGTTACATGTTATTTGTTGGCTCACGTACATGTTGTTACATGTTATTTGTTGGCTCGCCTACATGTTGTTACATGTTATTTGTTGGCTCGCCTACATGTTGTTACATGTTATTTGATGTCCCATCCATTCATGGCGTTTCCATGTTTGTGCCGCTTGAGATGATGACAGTAGAGCCATATAATCAGCCTGTGACAGCACAATGTTTACTACAGAGGTCTTTTATTGGACACTTGAGAATACTCAATGAAAAAATGACACACAAAGCATTTTGACTGACAGCTATGATTGGTGCAGAAATGCAATAAGCAGCCGACAGCATATATACTGTTTGCAGTTCTTTAGGTTGGAGGTCCCTCTAAATAAAGGACCTTTTTAGCATGCTGCCCTTCCAGCTATCTAAGAGATCTGCTTTCACAACAGAGTATATTTTTTAATATATAAAAAAGATCGTGTATATATTACTGTATATAGTACGGACCAAAAGTTTGGACACACTTTCTCATTTTATGAATTTCCTTTCTTTTCATGGCTATTGACTGTAGATTCACACAGTGGCTGAGTGGATAGCACTCTCTCCTCTCAGCAAGAAGGTCCTGGGTTCGAATCCCGGTCGGAACAGGGCCTTTCTGAGTGGAGTTTGCATGTTCTCCCCGTGTCTGCGTAGGTTTCCTCTGGGTGCTCTGGTTTCCCCTACCACTAAAAACATGCACAATAGGTATGAATGTAAATGAGAGAGTGATTGGACGGTGTTGATTGGGGGCTGATGATCCAGTGTGTTCTGGACTCGCTTCTGTCATCACCGTGTGTGGAATGAATGAAACAATATCTGAACTCTGAACATTGTAAAGCACTTTGGGTGACCTAGGTCTGTAAAATGCGCTATATAAATACAGATTCAGATTCATTTATTTGCCATTTGCAGTAAAACCACATTGGAAAAACTGTGCAAGACTACCCCAGTGTGCACCAGACGACACACACCAGAGCTCTTGCCACGGTGCCATCTTTACGGCGCCATGCGACAAATAAACATTACTTACTTACTAAGGGCTATTTGACCAATAAGGAGAGTGGTGGGTGCTGGGCCAGATGACCTGGCCTCTACAGTCACCGGACCTGAACCCAATCCAGATGGTTTTGGGGTGAGCTGGATCACAGAGTGAAGTCAAAGAGCCAACAAGTGCTAAGCATCTCCGGGAACTCCTTCAAGACTGTTGGAAGACCATTTCAGGTCACTACCTCTTGAAGCTCATCAAGAGAATGCCAAGAGTGTGCAAAGCAGTAATCAGAGCAAAAGGTGCTACCTTGAAGAACCTAGAATATAAGATATATATTTTTTTGTGTACGTACATAATTCCACATTAGTTAATTCATTGTTTTGATGCCTTCAGTGTGAATCCACAGTTTTCATAATCATGAAAATAAAAAAAACCGTGTGTCCAAACTTTTGGTCTGTACTGTATATATTAGTCCAAATGCAAGGCAGGAAAACATTTGAGTCCCTTGATCACTAGGGGGTCCCAGATCCTTGCAGGACTTCCACAGCTGACCAATACATGTTTTGCCATTATTGTTGAAAAGGCCAAACAACACATTTTTCACCAAACATAAAACATGGCTGAAGTAAAAGTACAAAAATATACATTCATACTGCAAAAAAAAACATTCTATACCAGAGTAGTTCCCAACCTTACCTTGTGTACCCCCTCATCAGTGAAGACAAGGCACGAATATCCCTTGGGGTATCCAGAGGGGTTAAACAATCTTCCCCGGTCAAAAAATACTTTGGTTTTTTTTTCAGGGTTTATGGATATACCAAGGTTTTCATACCTTTATTTGAGATTCATCTTTTGTATCTTATTATTAAGTTTTGGCTGTGATTTTTCTGAACAGAATGAATTCATGCTGCCTTGGACTGAACCAAACCTGGATCATAGGTTATTAAAGCTTATTATTGCAGACTGATATACAGTACAGACCAAAAGTTTGGACACACTTTCTCATTCAATGATTTTCTTTTCTTTCCATGACTATTGACTGTAGATTCACATCCAGGCTGTGTAACAATAAGGAGAGTGGTGGGTGCTGGGCCAGATGATCTGGTCTCCACAGCCACCGGACCTGAACCCAATCCAGATGGTTTTGGGGTGAGCTGGACCACAGAGTGAAGGCGAAAGGGCCAACAAGTGCTAAGCATCTCTGGGAGCTCATCAAGAGAATGGTGTGCGACGCAGTAAGACATATTTTCAGTTGTTTCATACTTTGTTTTTAGTACGTACCTATTTCCACATGAGTTAATTAATAGTTTTTATACCTTCAGTGTGAATCTACAATATTCATAATCATTAAATAAAATACTCTTTGAATGACAAGGTGTGTCCAAACTTTTGGTCTGAACTGTAAGTGTTGTTCTTGTTATTGGGTTTAATATTTAGAATTGAGAAAAGTAGCTGTAAAATTTACACCATGCCAAAAAATTGTCCCCTCTTAATGAAGGTTTTGGAAAGTTTTTAAAATCATTTTAGGTTACCCCTATAATACCCTCACATACTAGGACTCTGCATACCCCAGGTTGGGAAACACTGGCCTTTTACATTACCTAAAAGCCGACAACACGCACTTTGGCTATATACAGTACAGTCATAATGGGTTCCCATTGTAGTCCCATGCAGCTCTTTTAGACCCAGCCGACGGATCATGCAGCCATCCAGATAGTGAAGGAGACGAGGATGGTGAGGAGCAGGGTGCAGGGGGCCACGCAGCCCCCGTAGCACAGGCCCAGGACCCCGAACAGAGCTGTGAGGTAGGCACAAAGACGACTGCACACCACCTTACGCACAGCTGTACAGAACTGAAACAACAAGATTAAGTAAAATTGACTACAAAAAATCAATAGAAACAGTGTATTTTTTAAGAGTTAAAGAATATTGAAGATTATTTGCCGTTTTTTTCCCACTTGCAAAATAAAAGACGCCTGACTTTATTACTGATGAGTCTGATTTTACTTTTTCTTTTTTCTTTTATACTGTTGAGAAAAAGAAATATTGTTTGTTCTTCTAAGCCCTTGTTTAGAACGACCACCTCCAAGAAATTACTTTTGAGGCTCTATAAAGGTCTGTCGATACTCAAGCACCTGTGACAGCTTTATTGCAATTCCGTAAGTATAAGACAGAATCGACCGACCTTTGTTTGCCGCTGCTTTTTTAAAGGCATGGCTTTATTAACAATTTTGCTTGAATACACAAACAAATGTCACTTGAATACAATACCCTCCACTAGTTGATTTACAAAGCCATATTTAAAGTCCAACATTGAAAGCATAAAAATACTATGGAACTATGAGAAAGTTTCACATAGTTCCTGGCTCTCAATACTGTTCCGTTCAAATGCATATTTTTTTGGCCTCTATCACATTTTTTAATCTGCTTTTACAGTGAAAAATGGAATCTCAGTATGCAAAAAATCACCAACGATGAAATATATGTTGAAGTCGGATTCATACCTTTACAGCACTATACAAGGCAACTTTTCAATACTAATTTATACTAATAATACTAATAATTTGTGTTCACAGTTTTTCCAGTCTGGATTTTTTTTATGTTACAATACCTGTTTGTGTACATTGCCAATTGTATTTAGTAGCAGTAGTATTTTGTGTAATAGTAATGATAGTGGTGGTAGCAGTAGCAGTAGTAGTAGTAGCAGTAGTAGCAAAGTTGCAAGTTTGAATTACTTATTATGTTGCTGTGTATATTGCAAGTTGTATTTGGAAGTAATTTGTGGTTGTTGTAGTGATAGTAAGTAGTGGTATTTGGTGTAGCATTGTATTCTGCAGCAGTAGTAGTAAAAATAAAAAACGGACGAATTGGACATGTAAAAGATTTCCCAATTCAAACACACACTGCTGTATACTTGCAAGTTTCCAATACTTTTCCATGTTACTATCCCTATTAGCATTTGGACCAATAATACTATTACGCTGTTGAAATATATAAATGTCTAAATACCTGGTACGTCTGGTAGCTTATAGCCATGCCGTATCTGCAGTACATGACAAAGTGCTCGCAGTTGTACCACAGCAGGCTATATGTGACCGAGCCCATGAGTTTCTCCGCCCTGCGCGCCACCTCGTCCCCGTCCAGAGGTGTCTGCTTGCACACGCTGTCCATGTGGTTGATCAAAATCTCTGACCCGTAAGCAAAGTCTGTCACAGAGTCCACCCTGACGCTCGCCGTCTTGGTGATGACCCCGAGAATGAGCCGATTGTTCGTCACCATCTTGCTGATTTTGTCCTTGTCCTTCGTCAGCATCGGCAAGATATCTGGGATGAGGTGCGCCACACGATTGTCCCCCAAATAAATACCGAAATGCGTGAAAAGAGTCCTGGGTACTTCGAGCAAGTCCCCGCGCTTAAACTGCGAGACATTGTGCGTAGATTCCTCCTCTTTCTTAGACGCGGCAAAAAACATGTTGAAAAGTTGGAAGAGGAACATGGTGGTCTTGTTTGGTGGTCTGCGAAATGAACTCCCAAGTTTATATGGAAAGAGAAGGAGGTCTCAGAGCGGTCACACGGATTAAGCCTTGGTCAACATGCAGGGAGAATGTGGACAGAAATTAAGAGCATTCTGCTAATCACATTTAGAAAGTTGAGTATTGTTTTAGTTCGGGTCAAAGGTGTGGAAAGTGTGCTAAGCCGACTGACTTGACGCACGGTTAAACCCAGATTTGACCGGTCACACAATTTCAGCAATCGGAACTCAACAATTGGTCTTTGTCTGCATCTGCTGCACATACGTGTTGGTGGTGTTGGCAATATTCAGCATTATTCAGCAATTTTCCATGGGCTGAGAACAAGGGTTAAAAAGTCTGAAACTATTTTTATTTTTTTTTTCCTATTATTTTTCTTTTGTTTTTGTGCGAAATGTGTGTACATGTGTTCAAAACATAAATAATATAGTTTGACTGAAATGAAAAAATTAGAACAAAATGAAAACATGGAACTTCACACAAGCGCTGGCATAGATCATGAGTTGATAAAAAGTAGGATCTTTATTTTAAAACATTTTATTTACATTTAAAAGGCACCAGACAATGTGAGGCCACATCTTCTCCACTTTCCACTTTTTAATCAATCAATCAATCAATGTTTATTTCTATAGCACAGTTCATGCAGAATGCAACTCAAAGTGCTTCACATCGGCAACATTTAAAAGCAATTTAAAAGCAATTTAAAAACACACTGTAAAAACAAATACAAAAGACAGTTTAAGAAAATTAATAAATATATACATCAAAAATAAATTTATGATCCGATTTCTTGATACATTTACATTTGAATATTTAGGTAGAAAAATTTGATCCATTTTTATATATATATATATACAAATAGATAGTGCATCTCTGATTCATTATTGATCATTATAAGTGCTGTGCGCTGTAGAGAACTCTCCAGAAAAATATGGCCATTCCATATTCTACAGATAATGGCCATTGAGAGCTTTTAAAGGGGATTCCAGTCAAATGCATGAGAAGGAAATATGCATGGCATTCACATAATTTAAAATCCACAATTAATACCATGTAAATATTACATTGTACATAATTGATTTTTTTCCATCCAAATAACATAGAAGAATGTCCAAACTGACTAATCCCACTGAGACGTGGCACCACCTCTGAGCCACTGTGCTCACTCGATGGTCTGTGTGTACACTGGCACATGGTATGTGTAAAACAGGGCTTGACAATGTGACTTCCATTCCCAGACAGCCTCATTAACAGTGCATAATGTTCTAATGGCATTGACCATCGATACTACACAATGAGTTCTGGAGCGTGGCCGGTGGCACCACCAATCACATTTGCAGATTTGAACAGAGCGTCTTCAACCAGCCATCCACAGCGTGAAGGGGATGAAGATTGTGGGTAGTGTGGTTGAAGGTGCCATACCAAAGGAGATGATGGAGAAGATGCCCAGAAGGCCAGACACCAGGGCGCTGCGCCGGTCTCTGATTATAGACTTTAGAACGTCACAAAACTGTACAAAACAACAAGGAGAAAAGGAGGTTATGTTTCATCATGCAGATGTTTCCATACATGTAATACTGTACCTTCTCCGTCTGCCTGCTGACTGCACACCCGTATCTGCAGTGTGTGACAAAGTGCTCACAGTTGTTCCACAGCAGGCTGTACGTGGTGCTCCCCAGCAGTCGCTCTGCGGCCATTGCCACCTCCTCGTTGGGCAGGGGCCGAGCTTTCATCACACTGTCCATGTGGTTCACCAGGATTCTTCCTCCATAAGAAAAGTTCTCGAGCGTGTCCACTCGTACAGTGGCGCACCTGAACATGCAGCCAACGATGAGGCGTGTGTTGGTGATGACAGTGCGCACGAGTGTGGGGTCCCCTGTGAGAGCAGGCAGGATGTCAGGGATGAGGTGTGCCACTCGGCCTTCCCCCAGGTAAATGCCATAGTGAGTGAAGATAGTACGGGGCACTTCCAGCAGGTCTCCACGGCGTAACAGGACAGGAACAGCCTGCTGTGGGGTACGCTCTTCAGGCTCCTGATACTTGGACTCGAAGAAGGAAAGCTGCGTGAGCAGCGATAACTTCTGCACAAGGAAGGTCCAGAGGGACAGCATGTTGTTGTGTGCCTGATCTGTTCACTCCCCCTGGCTTTTATCCATTCACACGGGCATTGAGCGTGCACACACACACACCCATTACTGCATGGGCACGTGCGCATTGTCCAGCTCCAGAGCGTGCTGACCCACATGGCTCCACAGATTGGGAAGTGTGTGTGAGCAGGGGGAGTGGGTCAGGAGTCGGGGGACACCTGAAGACGGACTGGAGATACTGTTTTTCTTTTTTTATGTGTGAGACTACACTTAATAAACAACTTAAAAACAGGCAACACATGTGTAGAAGTATGGAGAAGTTGATCCCTGTGTTTACAGGCCGACCCGCCATAAGCTCATTCTGCTAATCTGCTGCAGTGTTTTAACCTGATTAGCCTGGGACAGCGTGAGGCGTGCAGGACCCACAGTGTCCAGAGGATGAGTCTTATGCAAGCGGCTGGAGACCACTTTCACCTGCTGCTGGGCATTGAGAAGGCCTTGCTCTCATTAGCGTATCTGACCTACATAGGGCTCTTCAAGGAGCCTCAGGAGCCCAAGGCAATGCTGGGGCGCATGTGTGACCTACAAACAGGTTTAGACAAGGGCATGATGAATGAGAATCCCTAACCTGCATGGATTTATTGAGAATATCACACCGTATCATCTAACTTCATCAGCAAATATATCAGCAATCAACTGCACCCAGTACACAGAGCACCAACCCCTCACTGATCCTCCTGCAGGTGATGAGTCCACAGGAGAACTGTCTTGCCCAGGGACACAACAACAGCAGACATCAGCGGGGGCCGGTGGAGAAGGTTTTGTGGTGGGCTTGAACCCACAACCTTGAGGCCCTAAGGCCAATGCCCTTCCAACTGAGCCACTGTCACTATGTTTTCATTATAAAAATTGAACCCTATAATGCAATTAATAATAGTTGTTCCATCACTCTTTTTCATCACTTTTTAAACGTTTGGTGAAGTTCTGGTTTCAATTCATGTAAGTTTTCACTTTGTTTAAAAAAAATCTAAAACTCTAGTAAATAGAATAAAGTGAATCACTTGGTCATGTTAAAAACAGCCCTGAATAAGGCTTTTGTCAGTTTAGTTCAGTAGAGGCCAATTTACGTTCTTCTGATCAAGGTCAAATTGTATTCATTTTTACAGAATGCTTTTCAGCAAAAAAAAAGAATTTTCATTTTGAACATTCTTTAGGACACTAAGCTCCGGAATGCTCTTTAGGTGCTTTTCAGGCTTGCGATCATATAATTTTAACCATACAACCTTGTTGTTTTGAATTTTTTATATCAGCTTGATCCATTGTGTTTATAATTGATGATGATAAGATAATAGAATTATAAGAAATGCAGCAATGAGTGACTAACATCGTACACCATGATTTATATTTATTTTTGTCCAGGGCCAAAGTGGTGTTCATTGTAGAAAGCTCATCTTTTGATTTCTATGCTTATTTCATCTGTTTTTTACATGATGGGGATATATTATGATCAATCCTTTCAATCTATCAAATTGTGTTTCTTAAATGCTTTTCATACAGATAGTATGCTTTACAGTTGGTTAAAAACAATCCCATTGATCTTATTGCGCCCATTCGCACACACACAAGGCCACATGTACTTACACACCAACAAGCTCGTCCACATACACACAGGCACAGCATATGTAAAAACCATAGATAACATGAGGCTGGTATAACTGGCTGAGGAAGCATCATCCGAGGAGCTGTCTTCACCAGGAGCAGAGGACCGCCTGCAGCTACAAGGGACACCAGGGAGAGAATACATTTCATGCAGGTCCAGTGTGTTGGCTCCTGGTCCATGTGCGGTGACAGGCTTCAGGTCACACCTCATTCAGCTGAAAGGGCTTAAGGGCTGTGACCGCAGTCTGCCCTCACAAACCTCTGGCCCCTGTCTCAGGGACTTACACCCCAGCCTCCCTCCCCACAGGCTGCAAGGTCGTGGAGCACTGTTCAAATTTAAACACAACAACCTGGACACAATTTGTTGGTCAGTTTTGTGTCAAAAACCTTACCCTTGATACTTTATACATAAAAGAAGATTTATACCGCAAACGGCCAACTATCGGTTAGAATGGGTTCGAATCCCGTTTGGAACAGGGCCTCTCTGAGTTTGAGTTTGCATGTTCTTCCTGTGTATGCTCCGGTTTCCTCCGGGTGCTCCGGTTTCCCCTACCACTAAAAATATGCTCAAAAGTTAAAATTGTCCAGCTCTGGTGTCAGACTGACTGCTTCCGGCAACAACAGCTGATAAGAGACGCGTCACACCATCACGTGTCACCTCTGATGAAGGCGGAAGCAGTACTAGCTTTTTTTGCTTTAATTGTCTTATTAGAAGAACCTAAAAAGCCGTGGTCTCAGCTAATTTCAAAATTCAGCTGGAAAACCCTGGACTATTTTCAAAAAATATTTTTTTGTTACCCAGTGATATCAACCTTTAAACATGCCATCTTTCAGGTTGGTAATGGAAATTTTAAAATGACAACTCTAGACCTGTCTTGTTTGCTTTTTATGAACTCTTCGCACCGCTGCATGATGTCACGAGGCATTTAAAACCATTCATATATCTAATTCTTTATTCTATGTCCTGTAACTTTAGCGCGAGAAAAACAAGTTTCTCCCGATATGACTCCTGCTTCTACACAAACATTACTACTGTGAAAATTGTACCTCACTTTCATTGTATTATAGGCTCAAATAACGCATAATGCCTTTCGGAATGTGTTTTTGGAAAGTCAGGTACATCCAAAATCATATAGAAATATCAAAGTGCTACAATTTCTTACATTGCACTGTCATTTTTACAAACAACATCTCTCGGATTGTTTAACATAAATACGAGCGCGATGAGTCCTAACGAGGGACTCAGACGCTCACTCACACATCCAATGAGCTCATTTGATTTAATCTCTAATGATCCTTCATTACATACTGAGATAAAAGATACTAATTTGAGATAGAGGGTTTAACTGTTAAAGGATCTTGACTTCAAGTGGCTATATATTGCTAAAAAGAAATATTGTGCTTTTTGGAAGGGTCAAAATTCATCCGCCTGTAATTCCCCATGTTACCAACAGAGAAATTTATAGAATTTTTAAATGTTTCTATTTTGTCCAATCTACAATCCCCGGATAAAAACGCAACCATGACATTGCCCAAATTAATTTGTGGCAATTATTTTGTTTTAAAAAGCAGAGCATTTCTCTAAGTTTTTTTTTAATTATTATTAATCCTATGTAATCTTAGAGTTACCTGTTTGTGTCAGAAGTTCCTGATAACAACTCCAGCTCTGTTTTTGATGAGAATCAAAGCTGTAACATGGTTAAAACGCAATCAACTGGATTTACATTATACGAATCTTCGATGTATTTTGTGATGCTTTGTGTGTTTATCTAAAAGAAGAATGGCACAAAAACTATTGGTCTGAAATGTGGGGTGCCAATGGAATGAGATGGTAGGAAGACCCCATCAAATGGTCTTGGCAGGGTATATGCTCTCTAAGTGCACGGTTGAGTGTACATATATGTTACCAGATATGTCAATTGAGAGATTTTTTTACAATAATGTCAGTGTAAACCCAAAAAAAGCCGGCATAACAAATGGAGTTTAAACGGCATTTGTTGCCCACATGCCGTTTTAAACTCCATTAGTTATGTACACGCCACTGATCAGCTGTGGCAGGTGCCGGTGTTCTGTCGAGTTGGTCTGCCCGTCGAGATGATCTGGCTCAGCTGTTAATGATGTAATGCAAACCTGCGCATGCGCGTCTCACGGCAGCCGAAGCAATCCAAGATGGCGGACATGTAGTCCGCGAATTGCTTTAAAAGTTAAATACGAACGAGTTAAGACAAGAATGTCACTTTTAATGCAATTTGAGGCGAGATGTTGATGGTTCCGTGTTGTGATGTGTGTGTTTTAAGAGTAAGAGTTTCGTGTAAAGTTTGTTTTAAGCAGTCCACTGCTCCTGTGAAACTACACTGCTGCTGTGTGATCGCTGTCCCTGAGTTGACTGCTGCATACGTCAGGCCCATTACGCGTCCTGTGACTGGTCTGTCGGGTTGATAATGGAAAAAATAAATTACATTTTATGCATGTATCATACTGTATTCAATATGATTAACAATAGTGTGTTCAAACTAAATATTTAATTAGATCGAGTTTTTTCCCCATTCTGGCGGGTTTGTGCGCATGTGCAAGTCAGATTTGGGCATGCTTAACCCTTGTATTATGTTAAGGGTCAATTTGACCCATTTCAGTTTTTGAGTTGATAAAAGTACTGGTTATCCTCTCTTTTTCTTACTGAAATTTGGTGACTTTTCCTCATTTAGGGTCATGAACTGGTGTGTAAAATCTGGACACTTTGATGTGAAGTGGAATGTCTGTGCAGAGTTTGTATACAAAGATGATGTTGCGGGTCATTTTGACCCAAACGCTTTAATGTGGGTAAATAGTTGTTCAGATCCAAAAAAACATGTCTCATTGACATTGTATTTTGATTGCCTCTGAGACCCAGAGCCAGGTGTGTGAAGAGAGGGAACTTTCTCACACTTGTCCTTGTCACTGTTCTCATGTCATCTCTTTTGCCTAGCGTACATCGGACTGGCAACTGATTGGCAAGAGATACTGTATCTGTCGCCTATGAGTTGCTGCCCCGCACACATCGACAATCTGGCGAAAACGGGCAACTCCTAGTAGCAGGCCAGTCTCGGGAATAACAGCGCGTACATTGACAGCAACTGGCCTCAACTACGGTGTGTTTTCTGACATAAACTGTAGAGGGCGCGCAATACACACATGTTGTTGGAGCGCGCACAACGGGTGATATCTCCGGATCTGAGGACAACTAGTTGCCGAAAAGTAGAACACGGGCAACTGACTCCGAGATCGACTGTTTATCTCCAGTTGTAAGAGCGCTCACATCGACCGATTTCATCTGATCATCTCCATCATCTACTCTCAGTTTCCAAAAGCCACCTTGCAACTAGTTGTCTCCAGTTACTCTGTCGATGTGCGCTAGGCTTTATACAAACTCACCAAAAATGAGCTCCAGAAGGATGACATCTGAGGAGGCTTTATCACAGATTTTTAACTGGGATAATGATGTAGAGGAAGAGATTTCAGAAACAGAGGATTTTTCAGAGACAGAGGACAATGTTATTGCTGATCCAGATTGTCAATTTTTTCTACGATAAGGAGGATTCAGAGGACGAATCTTTGGTCAAGGAAAAAGGAAGGGAGGAAGGAAGGAAGGTAGGAAGGAAAGAAGGAAGAGAAAAGAAGGGAATAGATGAGGATGAACAGAGAGAAGGAAAACAGGATGAGAAAAAGGCATGGCAGGAGGAAAGAATTGTCATTTTGACCCGAGAGAAGGACAAGAGGATTAGACTAAATATTTCTTAAATATAGCGTTGGAATTAAAAATGTATTGTATGTCACTTTTCTAAATATTTATATAACCTAAAATAAAGTTGTTATTGGTTTAACCTGTTTTCTTGACTGTTTTGAGTGTATTTACACAGTACGGGTCAAAATGACCCGCAACATAATCAATGTCATTTTTTTTCAACATAATACAAGGGTTAAAACAAACTTTACACGAAACTCTTCCTCTTAAAACACACATATCACAACGCGGAACCATCAACATCTCGCCTCAAGTTGCATTAAAAGTGACATTCGTGTCTTAATTCGTTCATATTTAACTTTTAAAGTAATTCGCGGACTACATGTCCGCCATCTTGGTTTGCTTCGGCTGCCGTGAGACGCGCAGCGCTGGTTTGCATTACATCATTAACAGCTGAGCCAGATCATCTCGACGGGCAGACCAACTCGACAGAACACCTGTTCCACAAAAGGAGCTTGTCCTTTCTCCAATTTTGACCGGTAATTTCCCTTTCCATCCAAAATATTACTTATAACCAGAATTTCTTGTTTTTTTTTACTCCCAACTTTTAGCTTTTTTCTGAATGAAATAAGTACATGCTTGCAGCTGAACCAAAATTGGGTCAATAGTGAATGAAACTGGACTGGAGGCCATAAAAAAAAATAGTACATCAATAATTGGCCAAAAGTAAGAAAAGCTTGTTTTCTTACTTTTGGCCAATTATTGATGTACTATTTTTGTTATGTATACAGTATGACCTGGTTCAATGTTTTGGATAAATTGAATGATGTGGTTGCTATCCTGAGAAAATTAGCTTTTAAATGATGTATCATAGTAAAAATAATAATAATAATAATGCATTGGTTTTATATAGCGCTTTTTTGGACACTCAAAAACGCTTTACATGTCATTATTCTTTCACTCCATACACTACTAATCTAAACCACAACTGTAGCCACAGCTGCCCTGCCCCTACACTGACAGAAGCGAGGCAACCAGTATGTTCCATCGGCATACTGGTTGCCACCACCACCAACCATTCACACGCACACCAGACTCATTCTAGGCAATGTTGGTGAACTGTCTTGCCTAAAGACACAACGGCAGTTTGGCACTTTACATACGCAGCCGCCCCACATAGTGGCCCATGTTGCCCTTACTACCCTCAAGTACCCCTGGTTGGGAAAGACTGCTTTACTTGATGGTTTGTTTTCATCTGTAGAAATCATAAAGACATCATAAAAGGCATTTCTATGGATATCTGCTACAATCTCTATGATGGTGTGCCATTAAAGCACAGACACAATGGTCATTGCAAAACAGAACAAAGACAGTTTTTCTATTTTACAATTATCTATTATCTATATAGCAAAAAACTAAAACTACACTGGTTTTTACTTTTAACACTGGTTTTACGATATCTGTATAATATACTGCAATGTTTTATTATTATGTTAGTGCTTGTATATATTTTTATTTTATTGTTTACTATATATTTTCCTGTTTGTGTACAGCTCTTTGAGTTTTTAAAGTACTCTTTGCATTGCTAACAAAGCACAATGAGTCTTCTTCATAGTGTTGACATCAATAAAAGAACTTAGAAAAAAAAAAACTTTAATTTACTTAGAGCAGAGATTGGAATGGCATTCCTAATGTGATTTCTGGGGTCGGAATAAGAGGATTTAAAGCATTCGGGGATTGTCTAAATGCCTCCATCTCACAAACATGTGGACTATTTAGCCTGAACCTGCTCTCAGGTCGAGTCCAGTCTGGTGTTCAGGTTTGAGGCCATTCACTGTCCTCTCTAAATATTTCAAATGAACACATACAGTCTGTCTGTGCTGCCCCCAGCTCACCCACAGAAACTGTGAAGCTCTCACAATGAATCAAATCTTATAAAGATGGCTTTGTGTAAAAGAAAAATAAACAACTTCCCCAAGGACTTACTTGCCCTGATCCTGGATAAAATGTATGTTTATGCAAAAAAAATGTTTCTAATCCAAACACAATCTCATATCAAATGCTTTTAAATTTGCCCAGTGTTTCAATAGGTGGTGTCCATCAAATTTGAATATTGCATTTATCTTGCTAGTAAGGTTTACTTTCACATCTTCACACAGATTCTCTGTTATTGGGCCTGCAACTTCCAGTCTACACAGATACAATGTCTTCAAGTGGAAAGACTATAGCGTCTCTCAATAATCATTAACACAAATGTATGGGTGAAATGTATGAAAAGTGTAAAAGTTACATGCAACAAGAATTTGTGATTTTGGCTCTTACCTCCCTCTCTCTTCCTTTCCCTTACACACTGGGTTAGAAGTACCTGGTCCGTTACAAAACTCCGCCACCTCCTGGGCTGTTTAGGTACTTGTAATGTGTGTGTATATTACAATCTTTTATCTTGTTAAGTGCAGTACCCATTAAGTGTATCTGTGTCTGTACAAAGTATGTAAAGTATTCCCATAGGCTCTGACCTGAGCCATTCCATATTCACCTCAATCCCATCAACATGTTATTGTTCAAATGCACATTAGGTGTAATAAGTTGAGTCATGTTCGATAATTATATTTCAGTTGGAGCTCAGGTGCAAAGTATAATTCTAAAGGAAAGAAGCATGTTTGATTAAGAAAATACCCACATGTTTTTTTTATATAGTGATGGGATTCAGTTCTTTCTTTTGACCAAGGTCATGCATATGTTTTTGAATAGTACCACTTCTAGACACCTTTATAAGAAAATAATTAGAACATATTGATGTGTACTGACAGAGATGTCAAACTGTGTGACAGTGTGACATGTAACATTCACCGCGTTCTGATAATCCACTGATCGCTGGTCACTTTAGTTCAGATAATTCATAAGTTATTTTACCAATACTATTATTACTGTTGTTTATTCTGGTCATATTCTCTGCTGCTAAAGTACAGTCGAAACATCTGTAAATACCTCATGTTGCTGCTGACAGTGTGTATTATTTTTGAACCAAGTGCAGTTTTAGCTTAAAGCTTCAATTATTTTATACAATAATTAGGCTCTTATTTCCTACTTTTATTTTGCTGTAATGTGACCAACTATGATTAATCTAATCGTATGTGGATTGGTCCAGGTATGACGATGAAATAACAGAGAGCTCTAACCTAAGACACTATACCTATTCAAGAAATCATTGCCACGGTAACCAAGAATAACCAAGAAGACAACGTTCAAAATAGATTCTTCTCGTTATTTTATTTGGGGGAAATAGCCTCTGCTACAAACATGAAAAGGACGCACCTCATTTTGTAATACAAAAATTACTATAATGTGTTTATTCAAGTCAAATAATGAACACAAATATTTTAGTATTACAGACAAAATATTATTAATTTAACATACAATAATTATATAAAACTTTTTTAAAATCTTTTTTATGACCTCTCGCGGCCCTCTACTATGACCCTTCAGGGGCTCCGTAGGAGACGCTGGTCTATGCTAATCACAGGGATCAATAAACTATCTATCTATCTATCTATCATTATAACACCATTACAAGATTTCATTACAGATGACAAGTGAACATATTTTTTTGGTAAAAGCACAGTATAAAACCACACAGAACTCATGGGGAAACCAGTTGTACGTCACATCTAGGAAATGACAGTGAATGTGGTACCGTATGCCCAGCTTTGAGTCATGGTTTGTGTTTGGACATTGTGTTGACTTTGATTAACAAACACTGGAAAGGACCTTGTTCAGATAAATATCCCACCATGCTTGGTGACCCCTCATTCTCCACATAGTCACATCAGCATGGCAACTTTGGCTCTTCAGGCCACTATTGGACTCCTCTTTCTCCTCGCTTCTGTGCAGGCGGTAAGATCAATATTGAAAGTTTATTTATGAAATTGATTAGAATAGATTGGATCAATTTATGCCATGGTTCTATGATATAGATTTCTTTTGTATGGCATTTATTGGAAGAAAAAAACTGTTATTGTGATAAGTAAATGCATTTGAGATATAGATGTGTTTAGTCCACATATTTCTTTTTTCACCCAGTTTACTTACAACTGTTACATTTCTATTTCTTTTTCAGCAAATACGAGGGGACAACCTGGCATCATGCTCCCAAAATGACGGATTTGTAAGTATTTTCATTACACAATGGAATTTAATTGGATGCAATCTTTGCTCACGCTACGCATTTTGGATTATTATTATAATGTGTCTTAAAAGTCATGGTGATCTATGTGATTATTGTTTAAAGAATGCATGGTTTTGATCACCTTCCTCTGTACCTTATTATAAAAAGTTATCAATCATACAAAAACAGATACACTGATATGGTCCCTTCCCTTATTGCACCCACCTTTCCGTCTGTTCAGAGATATAAAACAAATATTAAGACTAATAATTTATCATACTCGTATAGCTCTTTTATTCTTTACATATTCTATTGTCTACAAATTGTGCAGTATGAAAAAACAGGAACAGAAGTAAGAAAAAATGCTTTTGCTGCCCCCAGCTTCACTTGTCGCCAATCTAGCATCAAATAAGGTTTTTATTTTGTCCTATGTGTATGAAATAATTAATAATTACTCAATCAAGATGTTTAAAACAGAGTTTCGAAAAGGGACTGGATGAAGCAAACTTCCATACACTTCCCAAACCTGTCGAGCGCAATCTATTTCATTCTTTGAAAATAAATCCTACAAAATGTACTCACTGTTTCACTGGGACATTGTGTTTCCTTGGTGTGATAGCCCAGTTTTGTCTATAGCCTCCCACTCACTGCGAGTCATATTGCTCGCAGACAAACAGACAAATGCTGGTCCATTTACCTCTCGAACAGCGGTCAAGATTATAACTTGTAGGGGTGGGAATTGGAAAAAATGTGACAATTCGAAAGTATTGGAATGTTTGGACCGCATTAAACTGCTCATTACTGTGTCCAAAACCTTAGGAGGGTAGCGCTAAAACTAAAGACATAATTTTTTTCTGAATAGGCGACCTGACACATGAATGGTGAGCTCCCACTTAACTTCATTTATTCAAATACTTTAGACTAGACTTGCAGAGATGTCAAACCAGTCCTCAAAGGGCCAGTGTGGCTGCAGGACTCCACACTATTGCATTGATTTAATACTGACCAGAAATCATTTTTTCCTTCAGAACTTATGTCTTTCTGGTTGGTTTCAGGGAAAGTACTGCCCTACCACGTGCGGAGTGGCCGACTACATGTTCCGATACTTGCCGGGTGTCACCACAGATTTGATGGACATGGAGAGGTCCCTGGAGATAATCGCCAACATGACCACGGACACGGAGGAGAAGGTGGTCTACATGAAGGACTCCACCACATCTGCACAGAAGAGCTCTCAGTCAGGTCTGTCATGAGGGCAGGGGGCAATGCAAGGACAAGCGGAGTGGGGATTGAGCTTAAAGCATCTTTGAGGGGGAGATACACCAACACCTCCCGATTGGGCATCTGGAGGTATTCGATAATGTTGGATTTAGATTGGTTTGGTGTTGTGTGTGATTAGCATCCGCAACGATTGTGCTTTTCAATCCGAGGCGATGACATTTATAGTTGCTAGATCTGTGGAGTTCTGAAAAATCCATTCATAATAATAAGAAACAATAGTTGTATAGACTGACAAACCAAATCTTGTGGCTGAGTGCTGGGTCAAAAGTAAAACATGAAAGAGTGCTAGTTCCAAAAAGCAGTGGTAGCTCCAAAAAGCTCACCATCACACAAACCGAACCTTCAAATATCATCAGGTTGCTATACCTTGTTATACTTTTTGAAACATTTTGAATCTCTACTTTCATAATCTGTGAATTAATCCAAAGCCTCCAATACACAAATACTTTTATTCACCCTTTGATGCATTTGGGTCAAGCCTTGAGACAGAGATCACAATTAGGGATTGATAATCTATATGGCATTGACCCGATCTGAACCAAACTGTCAACATGTAGATGGATCATGCTGTTATTATCAAAGTTACGCCGCGATGAGTAACAAAATCTTTTCCAATGAAAATCTGGTGGCCAAATCTCACTGACTATTACTTTAACTGTGTTGGTGAAACTCTTTATAATCTTGAAATATTGTTCAACTTTATGCACAATAGTTCTGGCATGCGCCTCCTGTACTGGCGAACCCGCTCCCATCTCTGTGTGGAGTGAGAGACAAATGCCCAAAAATAACAATTGTAAACCGCTTTGTGACTCTGGTCTGTGAAAAGCTTTATAAATAAAGATTACTTACTTACTTACTTACTTATATCTATAATTCATCTGACACAAATCAATAATATAGACTCATGCCATGCAAAGTGACTTGTGTTGAGCCTTCTATATCACAACAAATCAAGGCTTGATGTATCTCACTTTGCATGTAATAAGTCTGTCATTTATTAGTTTCACATTGTCTTTTGTACCACAACCGAATTTTATAAGTTTCATCTGTATGTATTCCACACCTGAACACTAACAATCAGATTGAAAACACACACCTGTAATGACATATAAAGGTTTTGTGTGTTTGTGTTTTTCAGAAACCAATTTCAAAAGGTCAGCCAGCATGTTGGATGATGTCCTACGGTTTGAAAAGACCATCTTTGCACAAGAACAGCAAATATTGTAAGTCCCAATGTACTCTGGAATAGAAGTGGTTTTTTCTGACGGTACATCTGCGCCCACGCTGAAAGGCTGAAGTTTGAACGGGCACATGTTGAAAGGATTTATCTTTCTGTGAGGTGAAAAATCCATATCATTTGTGGATTGATTGAAAGTGCACGAATTTGACATTTTGTGATGAGAGGGAGGAGAGTGAGGGAGCAACCAAGTATCCACCAAATTAGTATAACACAGGATTTGTTTTTGCCATTTCAGAGAGCTGCAGAAAGTTCTCACATCCAACCAGAGGAGGATGACTGAGCTGGACAGTATGTCTGCACAGCTCAAGCAGAAGTGCCAGGAGCCTTGCCAAGATTCTGTTGAAATCCAGCCCACCACAGGCACAGGTAACACCAAAACCACCCACCATGATGCAATTTCATTCACTCTTTCTCAATCTCTTCCAATCAGAGCAGATAACCTTGACCACCGTTAGGTCAATATTCCCCTCTGCTGCGGAGTAAACAACAAAGAGCTGTGACCTACAAACCATTATCGATAGAACCAAACCGTTTTGAGCGCAAGAAACTAGTTGAGTGAATTATTACATGGTCAATTTTGGTGGTCACAAAGTTAGGTACTCCAGCTTTAATCACTTGTAAGTTTCTGTAAATTGTGCTTTACAAATAAACTTATACTTGCCTTGCCTTAAAGGTGCAGTGAAGGATTCATGTTAGCTTTTAGCAGTAGCATCCGAGTATCACAGAGTGAAAATCAGGTTTCTGCTCAGTCGGCCAGAAAATATTTATAAATTTACGGGCATCTGGTCATGTTCATTCCTATTTGAAAACACATGATAACTTGATTACTTTTGGGGTTTGGCGATGTTTCCCCACACAATTTTAATAATCTAGATGAATTATTGACAGCCTCTTTGAGCAGTTTATCAAACCAGCGGAATGGGGCCATATCGTCCCTTTTCACGTAGCCAACTTGCATTAAATGACACACATCTTATCAGATAAAAAGAAAGTAGTTAGACATTTATATTTTCTGAGTTTTATTGTATTTTAAAAATCAATATGTCTTGACCCTTTTCTCATCAGATTGCCAAGATGTTGCCAACAAAGGAGCCACCACCAGCGGCCTCTACTTCGTCAAACCTGCCGCAGCCCCAGAGCAGTTCTTGGTCTACTGTGAAATTGATGAATTCAGGCGGGGCTTCACTGTGATACAAAGGGTAGGTTACTTAGTAAAATTTAATAAAGAGCCCTCGGTAAAGGGTTAGGGTTAGGGTCAGGATTGAAACAACTTCCACATCTTCTTTGTCAGTACATGTAGACTATGTGGTCTCATTACTTTATCTCAAGTGTCTAAATGTGATGACAATATACAAAAACAAGTAATAATGTGACAGATTAATTATGATTACAAATGATCTGGGATAAAAAAAAAAAATCTTTCAAAAAAATGCTTTTTTTGAATTGCAATGGGTGCAAAGGGTAGAAAATGGATGGATGGATGGATGGATGAATTGCAATGGCATCTTCCCTACAACTGAACTGCATGAGCGCAACCTTTTAACCGTATACGACTATGTGACTGTGAAATGCGACATTTTGGAGTGGCCCTGAAGAAGATGACAAAGTCTGGGATCGTGTCTTTAATTCAGACAGAAGACATGTTTTATTGTTGACGGTAGAGCACGAACGCACGAGCAAAGGAATGTTACGACAGAAAGTTGTAATATACTCAGGAGAAACAGAGACCTCCAATCAGCAGCTGAACAAGTAGTAGCTGAACAAGTAGTGGAAAAGTACAGGTTTCTGCACATGGATAGAATGATGAGTTTAACTTTAATAACAAAAGTTGCTTAAAACTGTTATGAAATCTCACAGCCCGAAAGTCATTTTTATAATTCAAGTAAATGTGTTGTGTTTTTACTTTTGTGTTTTCTTATTGCATCATACAAACATTGTTTTTGTGTGAACAGAGACGTGACGGTAGCGCGGATTTCAACAAAAACTGGATTCAATACAAAAATGGTTTTGGATATCTCTCCCCGGACGATAGCACAGAGTTCTGGCTGGGTAATGAGAAGATCCACTGGCTGACCGTCGGCAAGAGCATCCCCACCGTGCTGCGCATAGACCTGGTGGACTGGCAGGGAAACAAAAAGTACGATCAATAATTCTTATTACACAAGACCAGCTTTAGTAAAGGCAACAAATGTGAACTTTGAAGCACAGAGCTACACTTGTGCTCTCAAATTAACTTTCTGTGGTTGTTTATTGTGGGGCTTTTACGCTATATTTTCACACTATTTATTTTTTAAATGCCTTTTTTCCATAGAGACTCAGAGAATAGATAATACCAATTGTTACAAAGTTCCCAATGCAAATCAGACACTCCCATCAGCGACAACAACAGTTAGCTTTATGCAGCAGCTGCAGCAAACATAAAGAAGAAATAAAAAACATATTACACATCCATCCATCCATTTTCTACCCTTTAATCCATTTCTGGGTCAGGGGGGTGGCAGTCAGAGATGCCACCCAAGTCTCATAGCACCAGCCCCTCACTGACCCTCTGCAGGTGGTGAGTCCATAGGAGGACGGCTGCTCTCTGAGTGTGAGCATAGCCTTGATCTTTCAGTGGAGGCTTTGGGCAAAGTGGGGTTAAGTGTCTTGCCCAAGGACACAACGACCCGGCCCAAACACTCTCCTGACCCCGACCCAAAAAGGTTGCTCCAGGTGATTTACCTCAACAAATAATATTAGTATCATAAGCAAAGAGTAAGAACTTTGATATTTTTGATACTTTGCATATTTCATTTATGGATATAATGAATAACTTGGGTCCAAATATTGTGGTTCATCCTTTGTCATCTCTTATCAAACAATGTCCCACACAGACATGCAGATTACAACATGTTTTCCCTGGGTCCGGAGATTGACATGTTCCGCCTCACCTATGGCTACTACATGGGGGGAGAAGCAGGCGATGCTTTTTCGGGCTTTGACTTTGGAGATGACCCCAGCGACAAGTCTTACACCATGCACAACGGACAGCAGTTCAGCACCTTCGACAAAGACAACGACAAGTACGACGGGAACTGTGCCCAGCAGGATGGCTCCGGATGGTGGATGAACCGCTGCCACGCTGCCCATCTCAATGGAAAATACTACCAAGGTACAATTACTGAAGTCAGTCACTAACGTCCACACATGTAGCTGACGTCACATAATCAAAGAGATGCAACAGTTCACTATACTATTTTTTTGTGTTTTTATTTCCCTTAAACATGACCGTAAGAGAGTATTCTAAAACGTTTAGGTATTTAGGAGAATGCTGCCCCTCGGAACAGAATGCGTTCTCCACAGAGCCGCTCTAGTTTTATTTCAGTCCTCTACATCTCTGCAATCTCCAGAACCGTCTTTACCGTGTTTTCATTTCAATAATAATGCATCAATTTTAAATAGCGCTTATTTGGACACTCAAAGATGCTTTACATGTTATTATTCATTCACTCCATACACGGTGGTGATAAACTACTAATGTAGCCACAGCTGCCCTAGGGCACACTGACAGAAGCGAGGCAACCACCACTGTAAACCCTAACTTCAATCCTACTTCAGATATCAAAGATATTTTAAATAGATTTTTCCAGTAAGTAGATATTACTCATTTATTGTTAGTTTATTTAAAGCTTGCCTATGTCACTCAGGGTTTTCTTTGAATTGAACTGTTTCTGTTCAAGTAAGCCTCACTTTTGACATTTTGATGTGTAGAGTCTTTAATGAGGCAGGTGTGACAATGGCACCAGTCTTGGTGGCTGAGTGGGTAGCACCATTACCTCTCAACTACAGGGTTCTGAGTACGAATCCCAGTTGGAGTATAAGTAGAAATTTAAACTTTATTGCAATCACTCCAGTTTACTTGGTAATGGCAAGTAAACGATGCACTCGAGGAATTCAAGTGAAGTTAATACACAATTTATTTCCATGGTTCTTTCAAGTAAACTTTACTTGTCAGGGTTTACAGTATGTGCCATCGGCCCCTCCAACCACCACCATTCACACACACACCAGACTCATTCTAGGCAATGGGGATAAAATGTCTTGCCTAAGGACACAACGGCAGTTTGGCACTTTACAGACGCAGCCGTCACACTGTGGCTGGTGTTCCCAGAGGTTAAGTGCCAAGGACACAACGACAGCAGACATTAGTGGGAGTCCATGGTGAAAGTCTTGAGATGGGCTCGAACCCACAACCTTCTTGCTCAAAGGCGAATGCTCTACCAACTGAGCTACTGGCATTAACTATTTGCTGGATTCCATAACAGACTTGGAGATCAGCTGATATAAATTAGCTTTTTGGCCATAATGTGACTTACACTGTAACAACAGATGTTCATGGGGGTGCGCAGTCCCTTAAAACAAAAAATCAAGTTAATAACTAAAATGTGCTGCTGAAAAGGGGAGATGCTGAGAACAAATACTGACAGTGAAGAATTGAGGTTGATTATTGGCGTACTTACTACATTTTAATTGGTACGAACATTCCTCTAAATTGGAGATATATTAGTTTACATTTGTATTGGAATGATAAATGGTGAGGATGAGCAAACAGTGGTAGAGGGAGGAAACACTTATGGTTGTTCCAGAGCCATGACACTTTATTCTGACACATACTTCTAAAGAAAAATATATAACAATTTTGGAAACAGTACTTGTTTAAGAATGTTTGAATCTCATACTTCCTTGTACAGTGCTTGCTGGACTATTGCGCGTGCTTGTATATAAACAGGACCAACACACTGACTCGGGATTTTCAAAGCACTGGTAAATCCAGGCTATTTTGAGATTAAACGTGTGTTCCATCCCCTTTGTACTTGTTGAAGTCAAGGTCAATAAACTCTGTCCTATGTATTTCCCTAACGTTTAATGTTAGAATTAGCAGGAAGCAGGAATGTCTGCTGCATCATCTGCTCTGGAGCTTAGCAGCTCCAAAAAAGTGCTCTAATATAATAAAAATACATATATTGGCCACAGCGCTATGCAGAGTTCAAAGGTTTTGAAAAGAGTTGCAGCTTGTATCCAGAAAGTACTGCATACAAATCTGCCCTGCATAAGAAGCATGAATGTCACAATTCCCTGTCTAACTGCCCTGTGTCTTGCGGTCCAGGAGGCACGTACACAGCGAAGGATGCTGGTGAGTTCGGTTTTGACAACGGTATCATTTGGGTGACCTGGCACAACCGCTGGTACTCACTGAAGGAGACCACCATGAAGCTGATCCCCTTTACTCGCCTGGCAGCCGAAGGAGGCCAGCAGGGTGGAATGAAAGAGTTTGGAGGACTAGGGGTCTAAGCACAACACTGATATTCTGATGTAGTTATAACTCCTGGAAATGTTCATTCAATCATGTCACCCATCTTGTCTTCTTTTTTTTTGTGTCTATTGCCCACTATTCAAAGTTTGAGACTTCAAGAATAGCAGAAAACCTGTGGATAATTGTTTGTTCTTGTAAATAGGTTGCGTTCACATAATCTGTTCATGTAAAAACATCACAGGTTAAGTCAATATACTGCCACAAAATTCCATGTGTCCCCTCTCTGTAAATAAACACATTTGAAATAGTTGTTTTCACACTAGTTTTAGAAATTGTCTTTATTTTTTCCCATTAACACAATAGTTGAAATAACTTGAGTTTGTGAAGCCTAATAAATAATGACAATACTGTAATCGTATTACGTTCCTTTATATGAAAATAAAAATCATTTCTAGAACGCAACCTATTAAGCTTTGTGTAAAACACAAAAGAGGTGGAAATAAATTGGTTTGGAAATCGACTGGTCTTATTATTAACCAGAATTTTAATAATGCGTGCATGGGGTTGTACTATTTTATTATAGAATTTTCCACAGCAAGATGCTAGAGCAAGAGCTAATAAAACCAACAATGATCACGTACACTGTCTTACTTGCATCATGAAATGTATATATAAAATTTATATAATTCATTTAACTTGTGACCGAGTTACACCAAACACTGCTTCCAGAAAAGAGACATGTTATCAGGTCCGCAATTATCAATTATTTGGATATTTTTAATTGATTGATTTGATTCAGAAACATTAGGTAGGTGACATAAGTACATAAGTAGGTGACTCGTTCTCTATGATCATATAATCATATACTGTATATACAGTGCCTTTGCGAAAGTATTCGGCCCCCTTGAACCTTTCAACATTTCGCCACATTTCAGGCTTCAAACATAAAGATATAAAAATTTTATTTTTTGTCATGAATCAACAACAAGTGGGAATGAATGAATGAATGAATTTAAACTTTTTTAACAAATAAAAAACTGAAAAGTAGGGCGTGCAATATTATTCGGCCCCTTTTCTTTCAGTGCAGCAAACTCACTCCAGAAGTTCAGTGAGGATCTTTGAATGATCCAATGTTGTCCTAAATGACTGATGATGATAAATAGAATGCACCTGTGTGTAATCAAGTCTCCGTATAAATGCACCTGCTCTTTGATAGTCTCAGGGTTCTGTTTAAAGTGCAGAGAGAACCATGAAGACAAAGGAACACACCAGGCAGGTCCGAGATACTGTTGTGGAGAAGTTTAAAGCCGGATTTGGATACAAAAAGATTTCCCAAGCTTTAAACATCTCAAGGAGCACTGTGCAAGCAATTATATTGAAATGGAAGGAGTATCAGACCATTGCAAATCTACCAAGACCCGGCCGTCCCTCCAAACTTTCATCTCAAACAAGGAGAAGACTGATCAGAGATTCAGCCAAGAGGCCCATGATCACTCTGGATGAACTGCAGATAACTACAGCTGAGGTGGGAGAGTCTGTCCATAGGACAACAATCAGTCGTGCACTGCACAAATCTGGCCTTTATGGAAGAGTGGCAAGAAGAAAGCCATTTCTCAAAGATATCCATAAAAAGTATCGTTTAAAGTTCGCTAAAAGCCACCTGGGAGACACACCAAACATGTGGAAGAAGGTGCTCTGGTCAGATGAAACCAAAATCAAACTTTTTGGCCACAATGCAAAACGATATGTTTGGTGTAAAAGCAACACAGCTGAACCCTGAACACACCATCCCCACTGTCAAACATGGTGGTGGCAGCATCATGGTTTGGGTCTGCTTTTCTTCAGCAGGGACAGGGAAGATGGCTAGAATTGATGGGAAGATGGATGGAGCCAAATACAGGACCATTCTGGAAGAAAACCTGTTGGAGTCTGCAAAAGACCTGAGACTGGGACGGAGATTTATCTTCCAACAGGACAATGATCCAAAACATAAAGCCAAATCTACAATGGAATGGTTCACAAATAGACGTATCCAGGTGTTAGAATGGCCAAGTCAAAGTCCAGACCTGAATCCAATTGAGAATCTGTGGAAAGAGCTGAAGACTGCTGTTCACAAACGCTCTCCATCCAACCTCACTGAGCTCGAGCTGTTTTGCAAGGAAGAATGGGCAAGAATTTCAGTCTCTTGATGTGCAAAACTGATAGAGACATACCCCAAGCGACTTTCAGCTGTAATTGCAGCAAAAGGTGGCGCTACAAAGTATTAGCGCAAGGGGGCCGAATAATATTGCAGTTTTTTATTTGTTAAAAAAGTTTAAATTATCCAATACATTTCGTTCCACTTCACGATTGTGTCCCACTTGTTGTTGATTCTTGACAAAAAAAAATATTTTTATATCTTTATGCTTGAAGCCTGAAATGTGGCGAAATGTTGAAAGGTTCAAGGGGGCCGAATACTTTCGCAAGGCACTGTATATGTGTATCATGTATATATTTATATCAAATGGATATTTTGAATGTTCTACTTGTCCTGCAGCTGTGTGTGCTTGTTTTAGATTATGATTATGAATAACACAAACACATAAGTATAAGAAGATGTTAATGAGTGATAGCTGGTAATGGACGGATGAACAGGTGTTAAGAAGGACCTTTTCTTTCGCAGACAAAAGGGAGAGTTTTTTCACACTCCTGACCGTCCCAGCACAACTTGGATGAATCTGACAAAGAGATAAGTAACATCATTCTAACTGGACAGTGCAGATGACTATACCATAATGTATAAAATATTTATCAAATGTGCTATATCAAAAACACAGTCATTCATACTTGTGTAACCTGTGTGATTAGTCAAGACACATTTTTGACTTTCACTTCTGTCATTGGGTTCTCCAAGACACCAGTTTGTGTAGGACCAGAACCAGAGACCAGACTAAAACTTCAAAGACAAAAAAGGCATTTGCCAAATTCATCTATTATCATGTGAAATACATTTTTTCTATATCCTCATCAGTTTAACAAACCTGCTGTGCGTCTGACAGACCAATCCACGTTGGCTGTCCCTTTGACATACCCCTCACTCGGTTGTCTTCAGCTTGATCATTTATAACGACCAGGTGTCCTCCAGCTCCCACACAGGCCATCTGAAGGAGACAGCACAAAGTGATTATGAATTATTTGTATTATTATTCAGATAAATTATTATGTCTGTAAGTGAAATTACATGAGCTACGATAGCTGCTCTCAGCATGCGTGTGCCAGGCTTTAGACTCTTCACCTGAAAAGAGAAGACCTCATGAACTGTCTGTACTTTCAGAATACTACAAAACCGATCATTCAGTTTTTGGCATAGAACATGTTTACACTATATAAACACTGCAGACTCACCACCAGCCACTGTGCCAATCTTAACAGATTCTCGCTCTGGGACATGAAGAAAATAAATAAAAAACATGAATAAAGAATGTTAACGGCTGAATGATAAATACAGACTCACCTTTTGTGTGGGCCAGTGCACCACAGGAGGCCAACAGAATCAACAGCTTCATGATTTCATGAATTATGTTTTGTCTTTTAGTATGGAACAACCTTTTCCCACTAAAGCTCCTCAACACACACTTCCAGTATTTATACTTGTCTGTAGCCATGAGGCAATGGTAGACTGCTATTGTATGACTCATACTGTAACTCTCCACATAAGATGGACTTGATGAACACGGTAAAAAGCATTTAGAATAAAAATGTTAGACATTTTCCTTAAACCAAAATATACCTGAAAGTGGTTTTAGCTCCATCTATACTAATAGCAAACATTTTGACACAAACTGTCACATTTTGCCCTGGCACATCTTGAAAAATGTGGCAAGGGGAGGTGAGATAAAAGATAACAATAATAGACCAACTAATGAACCAAATTAAACTAGCAAAGCCACCAGTTCTGAGCCTGCATAACAAAGCAAAGGTAAAATGAAGAACACTCTGATTCACTTGACAGAGGCAGTATGAAATCGTAATTCATTTATTTTCTCTTTTGGTTACTTTAAAATCTGTTCAGTTTCACTATAAATGCACAGTCCAGCTGCATAGCCCACAGCCTGAGGCGCACAGAGGCGCACACGGGCAGATTAGAGTTTCTCCAGCTTTCTTTGTGAAAGCTGAAGGTTTGACGACAGCTGAGGATGAGCCATTTGAATTAACACTGAGGTCTTTGAGAAAATGTCAGTTTCTTCAAAGGCTGCGTTTTACAACGATTTTTATTATTTTAACACACGTATCTATCTTTTTGTATTATTACTATTATTAATAATAAGAATGACACGACAAACAACCAAAATTCCAAAACAATGTTTAGCTTAGCTTAGCCGCAGTACTGAACGCTGTCCTAGATGAGAATTTAGAGGTTCTGGAAAGGCTTCACTCTTCTTTTTGTATATATGTCAGGATTGCACCCCTTTCTACATCGAGATGTTTGTAAATGTACCCTGGGGCTGCACGCTGTCTCATCGCAGTTACTGTAAGGCAGAAAAAGGCTGAGTACAGGGGTTTTCTGCACTCATACACATAGAAGTGTGATGCGAAAAGCAAAAATATGTTAATTTCATGAGGACTTCTTTTTCAAGTATGAACTATGTCTCATAAATGGTAGTAAAGAACTCCCTGATATGAGTTACATCATTTATACATGTTACACGATGCAGAAAGGTCAAAGCACTGTTGCCTCATGTAATGGACCAAACATAAGGCAAGGACAACAGGTGTAAAATCATCTCTAATTTAATTAAGGAAAAATGTAATTTGACAAAAAATACAAAAAGATATAACAAATATTTGTGGCCAACTAAAGTAAACAACCTAACCAAACCAAGGAAACCAAAAGAAGAACCCCCACCACCCAGAACTCTGGGCTTATATACAGGTGGAGTAACCCAAATTACCACCAGAGGGGGGGAAATGCTAACTAATAATTTGAAGCAGTGTCCCTTTCCCCCCCCCCCTCTGATTCTTGGGACTGGTGGACTCTTCCGCCTCCAGCACTTCACTC